TTTCTTAAGATGAAGTGGATTCTTAATGTGTTTTTAAAAAACTAACAAACAAACATGTTGCTGAAACTTAATACTTACTGTAAGTTCAAGGGAGAATTTTGATATCTTTTTTATTTCAAATCATGTGCATCTTTTTAAGATTTATAGCTAGCCAGTTAAGCAGTGGTTTCAAATGCCAAAGTCCTACCACTTCATTTTGTGTTATAAGCCCTAAAAGTGACTGTTTCATTTTTTTAACACAGTTTTCTAAGGGACGAGGTTGAGTAAAGTTCTTGATGTGTTTGTTATTACAAATCTTTTAGATTGGGGTTATGCTCATTCATAACTTCAGTACGAACAAAGTTTTAGAAACAATTTTAGCTATGGAACAAACTAAAAACCCATCAGAAGTGCTGGTAGTACCTAGCAACAGTCCGTATATTATGAAAAACTTTCTTACAGAGGATGCTGCTGTTTAATCCCAAACAGTTAATGTTCTTAATGCTCTAGAAAGTCTGATGTAGCACGTATTCAACACCAGTCCTCATGTAAATATTTTACATTGTCTGTTTCTTAAAGCCGTGGGTGCTTTTTTTTTCCTGCAGAGTATGCATATTTGCACTGCACACATTCTTCCAATGCACTGGTTAATTAAGTTAAATTTCAGAGCAGCCTACTTCTTAGATAATTCCTGTGATTTTAATAATAGCAGTTTTGATGAAGACCCTAAAAATTAAAACCACCTCCTTCTTCTCTAGTATTCTTCTCTGGATTATACTTCTGGAAGTGGAAAGCACATTAATTTTCTTCTTTGCTTTTTAATTAAAGCTGGCTTCTGTAACTGAGGGTTTGAAATTGGTTAGTACTCTTTAAAGCAGTGATGTCTTAATCCACAAATGAAAATGAATATTTTCTCTGTAAACAATAAGGAAGACTGTCTGCTTAAACAGGTGAGAAGATAACAAATATAAATTGTACATGTTGGTATTGAAGAAACTCTCTACATACTAAGTAAGGACAAATTCTGTCTTCCTGGAAACAAAGGAGTCTTGAACAGGGGTTGCTTAGGAGATTACAGGAGATTCTGAAGGGATGTCATTCCCTCTGAAGTCCCACTTTCACCACTGGTACATGCTGAAACCTGCACTAAGCTTTTTAAAAGTGGTAGCTGTCACAGTTCTGGCCTGGTTCAGCCTGGTTCCATCACTAAATGGGGCAGAGGGACCCACAGGCCCATGCCTCGAGATGGACCTAAAGGCAAAACAGCGGCAATGAGCTAAGGGAGAAAACTAATTTACAAAATATGATAGAGGAATGTGAGATAACACAGTAAAATGCAATATAATTGGAATTGAAGCTAATAAATCAAATAAAATGAGGGAGAGTGTGTCCAAAAAACCACAGGCCTTACTCAAATGTTGAAGGCAAGACAGCTAGGGAGCACTCACTGCAGAGATGAGCAGGAAAAGAAGGGCTATCTAGTGACTCCCAATCCATTTTATCTTTACCTCTAAACAGAAAGCAGAAACAGAACAGTGAATTCTTTGTAGTTCTTCTCTTCTGAGAAAGGTAAACCCAGAACTATTGACAATCCACACAACTAGAGCATTAACTCTTTAGCTCCCAGTGCACTACATGATATTATGATGTGAAATACCAATAACAGAAATAATAAAAACTGTGACAGTAGTAATGTCCATTGCCAACAGTTGTAAGGCCTTACCAACTCCCAAAGTAACTTCAATGCTTCAGTAACAACCCTTGTAACAAAGGTTTTGGGTGGTTTTCCTCAGTTTCATCCAAGTGCTTTTACAGCACTATGAATGATCAATATCAAAAGGGAGAGTTTCTTCCCTTGGTGTTCGTTCATAAAGTAGACTATCAACGTTCTCCCTTCAACTGTAAAAGCAGCTCAAAGACTGAAGTCCTTAGGGAAATTCCCAGTGATTTCCCTAAGCTTTGATGGAGGCTGTATCCATGTACATGTGCTCTGTCTTTTCTTCTTATGTTACGCATGAAAACTTTCAAAGTATCTAGGAAGAAATCTATTTTGAGACTGGCAATAGGTGAAATTCTGCCATCAGTTTCATTCTTTTTGATGCAGAGCAGCTGGACTGAAATGCATGTGGATTCTTCTTATTTCACTTTTGAACAATTTGAAGCAGCATTTAGCCCACTATACTGAATTATATAGAAATTATCCTGTAAAGGTCTCATTAGTCTATCTCTGCTTCAATTTTTCTACATTAATTGTTTCACCTAATATGTGAGAGATAGTGGGTCTGGCTGTTTACATAAGACGATTTATATTATATATACATTTTAAATCCCTAGCTCTGTTTTTGAGGTTTCTTTGAGAGTGGTAGGACATGCTTTAACAAAAGGATAAGTGATTTAAAAACTATAATGATCCTTGCACTAGAGAAGACTCTCTTAAGTCAATAGGCACTTGTTAATTATTTTTTTTCTGTGCCATGAACTTTGCAATTGGTGTGTGTCTGGTTTCCTTAAGCTTTCTCCTCATCATCAGAGCCTTAAATGTAACACATCGACGGCAGGTAACTCATGTAGAAGTTTACTGATTTGACTTGAGGCTTACTATGGTCATCAGAGTCTATGAAAGTAGAAAGAAAAAATCATTTTTTAGTCCTTGGAGGTTCTTTGTCCGTTTATGTTACCTGTTAGATTATGCAGCATTTGAAGAAGACTGTCCTGGTCACTGTTCGTGTTACTCCTTCCTCCTTTGTATCTGATTTGAGTTGAAGTAGGAAGCAGGCAACTATTTGGGAACATTTTTTTTTTTTTTTAAATTTGTTTTTAATCTGAATGATATCTTAATAACCTAACATGTAATTTTGGGTATTATGAGACAGGTTTCTAAACAATAAGCTAAAACATTTTCATCACTTGTCATAGCAGATTCAAGAGCACTTACATATACTCTATGATTTATTTTTGTCCTGTAAGACAAACAACTCCATTTTACCCTCATATGAGGAGAGTGGTTATTCATTAATGCTTCCTCAGTCTTTCTGTAAAGAGCATTGGAAACCATTTCCAACTTTTAACCTTTGGATTATAGGTAAATTAGTGTTGTGTCTTGTGGAAGAAGGATTGTGTTTGTTGTGTCTTGGTTCCAGAAACTTTGGGACCAAGAAGATACAGAAAACATACTATAATATGAAGAAATAATTGTTTCTCTAACCATGAGTTGTTTTTTGTTGTTGTTTGTTTTGTTTTGTATGTGTTTTCCCAGTCAGGCTCATTTTATTGCTTAAAATTAGGGAACAAAGTCCCCTGCATGATAAGTAACTTCTGATCCTGACAGGTCATAGAGGCAAATGAGCCATGTCAAAAGAAACTTATATAGACTTATCTAAATTTTTTTCTGACCTTACTAAACCTAGAAAATAGATACTGTGAACTCGAACTATTGAAGCATTAGATGTGTGTAAAAGCTAATAAGATTGCATACTGACTGATTTCTATCATTTTTCTCCAAGGAGTGTAACAGTTGCTCAGAAATGACCCAAATAATTTTTATTAATGGGCCCAACATTACTTTCATTTCAAAAGAGACAAATCATTTAATAAAATGTGTGTTCAGTTGTGTTCATTAGTGCTAATCAGTAGTTCATTAAACCTTAATCATATCAATTTAGAGCCACTAATACTCAGGTAGTTTAATAAAGGACCCAGCAGTAAAAGAGCACACGCTGCATATTCAGGAGCATATTAATCCATAGCAAACCCTGCTTGAATACCCACTGCCCATTCAGCTGGGTGTCAGGGGCAGGGTGCTGGTCTGGCTTCGCATTGAGTGACATGTGCAGGCTTGGGCACCTCACTACAAAAAGGACATAAACCTATTGCAGAGAGTCTGAAGGAGGGCTACAAAGATGGTGAAGAATCTAGAGGGGCAGCACTGAGCTCTGCTCTGTGTGACAGCGACGGGCCCGAGGGAACAGCATGGAGCTGCATCAGGAGAGGGGAGCTGGGGGTCAGGGACAGGGTCTGCTCCAGAGGGCGCTGGGCTTGGAACGGGCTGCACAGTGCTATGGGTGCAGCCCCAAGTGCTGGAGTTCAAGGCGTGTTTGAATACTGCTCTCAGACAAAGGGTTTGGATTTTGGGTGGTGCTGAGTGGGGCCAGGAGTTGGTCTAGATGAACCTTATGTGTCTCTGCAAACTCAGGATATTCTTGATTGTATGAAACAGTACACAGCGTGGCACATACTGCACTTACATATGATGAAACCTTTGTCTTGTAGAGAACTGTTTTCGTTGGTGAGGGTGGGGTTTGAGCAAGGAGTGGATACAGATTGAAGCTTTTTGGCTAACTCCCTTAGTAGAAACAGCACAGTAACGTGCTGAGGGAAATCCCTGGACAAATTCTAAATATATTGGTAAGGCTTAGTATTTTGAACTGACGGTTTGTAAAACAGCATATTGGAGAATACTGTGCATAATATCCACTCCATAAAGTAGTCAACATATGTAAAAATTTCAGGATATGAGCCATGACATCTACTAATGCCGCTGCTACTAATGTCTTATTCAGTTCTTCTGACTTTAGCGTGGTATATACTTTTCAGAGCTCTCATGTTATCTTCCAAGAAGGGCTGTTATCAGATGAACAATTTTCTCTGGATTTGTGGAGTTTGCACAGTGCTGCAGACAATGCTGAGCTTTTTGCTATTTGTGTATTAAAAAGTCACTCTGTATTTCATGGTTTATGCTGAAGTCCAGAAAATAAGAGAAGAGTAACTGGTGTATCAGTACAGTAGCTGAGATTTTCCAGAAGCATCATAAATGGTGTTATTCCAGTTCAAAGTTGAGATTTATGAAAGTCTGTACGAGCAAGGAGTTTTTAATTACTTCTTTGAACCAAACAAGAGTTAACAGATAGTTACAAAGTGTAAATATGTGGGGAATCCTGGGATTATTTTCTGCTTATTCTTAAGGTATTTTCTTCACAGAAATCCAGTTGTAGTTCCTTAGATGTTGCTTTCTCTATTTTTAGATGACTCTAAATGAAGTGCAACACATGAATGTATTCCCCCTGAGAAATGCAATAAACTATTTTGCTATCAAGTGCATTAAGATTTCATCATACAGTGAAATCATTCTTCTGATTCTTTCCAGGTAAGAAGATTGTTTGACTCTAATTAGACCCCTACTTTTGTCCTCTTTTGAACTATCATCTTTTTTTCTTCTGACTTAGCAATTTTAATTGGCAGTGTGTTTTTCCTGCTCTATAGCCTTAGCTTTTTCTTCCGCTTCTTTTTTTTTTTTTTTTTTTTTTTTAATGTCAAATAAAGAAATGAAAATGTTGTGGAAAAATGAATTCTACACCAACTGTATTTAGTAAATGAGTTTCCAAGCATATCAGTGCAATAGAGTCTTAAGTGTCTTTTCTAAGATGACTGTATTCATCATGTCTTGACTAAGCACTTCTGTACAGGTAAGTAAATGATATATTTGTTTTCCCATCCTACTGTCATCAGAAATGAGTTAAATGCATACAGAATGATCCTGGATAATTTCTATTTATTATCTTGATAGTCATCCCAATAGTATATTCATCGTGCTGGTCTGAGTATTGCAATTAAGCCTGCCTCTCTGATGACCGGATGTTCTTGTAATGCATTATTTTACCAACTGTCAAAAACTCTCCTAAATAAAACTGATATTATGGTAGGCTGGTAACACTTAACATACTTGTGTGTGAGCTTATCATCAGCTGCAAGAAAGAGTGTGGGTTCATACAGTGTTGTCAAACCTGAACAGTACCACTGGGATTTCCAGCCCAGCAGGGACAGGTTAAAATTTTAGTACAGCATGATATTTCCTTCTCCTGCTCTGTTGTCATATGACATAGATAGCAAACAGCTCTAGTGAATATAGACAGCTCTGTGCAGATAGGACCTCCTGGGCAAAAATAACATTATTGGATATTTTACTTGCTGGTCTTTCTTTTCTGTTCCTCAGAAGCCTCTAGCACATACTGTGGCAAAATCTGGAAGAAGATATTAGGTAGGACTGGAGAGAAAAGACAGCTCAAACCAGATACAGCTCATATTTGGCAAATAATCCATACAATATATTCTGGAACTATTTTTGGAGAATTTGCTTAAACCCTTTATACTAGCAAAATGCCTGTGAAAAATCAGGAGAGGATAAAATCAGAAAATTTTGTGATGTTCTAAGAGTTGTCAACAGCACAAGCTCTCTGACTTGTACACTTTACAGTATGCAGGCTGTTGGTGAAATGAAAAGCAATTTGGCCTATAGAAGATGAATGGTGAATTGGCATGATGTCCTGTTATACCTGAACTGGTTACACTTACGAAGGTTACATATCAGAAAGCAAATAATTCAAAATGTAATTGGTTTGATCTGAATATGAGGCTTCAGGTAGATGCTGCATCTTCTGGACCCTTTGTGTAGTCATTGATAGTACCTGAGCAGGATCAAAGTATTATTCTAGATACCATTGGTCTTAGGTAGGTAGGTAGTTAGATAAGTGCAGTTGGGATAGAGATTGTAAAGAGAACAGGAAGCACTCAGCTTGTCTGTAACAGGCAGGGGTTAGCTGGGATACCTTTGGTACACTCACTAGAGGACAGACACCAGAACACAGTTAATAACATAATGTGAAGCAAGGATGGCAAGAGTGTTATTAGGAATACGTGTTGATCATGAAAGTTATATCCTGGTAATGTTCTGGACATAAAAACAATTTAAATACATGATTTCTTTGCAAATATCAGGAACATTAGCTTGAAAGGCTAATTAAATACTGGGTCTAAGAATAACAGTAAGAGGTTTTCTGGAAGAGATAAATCGCATGTTTTATATAGACTAATAAAATATTATGAACTGGATATATTTCCAAAATTGTCAGTAAGGAGGTCTAGATGATACTGTTGCAGTGTAGAACCGTTACATTTCTTTTGCTTGTTTGGGAATTTTAATAAGCATCCTCTTTCTCCTTAATGACCATTTGATGTTCTACATGAGATCTGTGTGGGTGGTTTTCATTCTAATACATAATAGGCAGATATTCACATCATGCAAAAAAACTGTGTTAATTTGTTATGTTCCCTAAAGAAACCAGTAAGGGAATGGAGGCTAAGCATTGAAGCTAGAGGCTGGAGACTGAACTTCTAGCAGATAGTCTGTGTTACTCATTAAACATATTTCAAATAGCTCAGTTTTGTTTTGCTAAGTGCTTGTGTGTTTATTTTTCATCTTTATTTTCATAATTGCCTTAAATTGGTGTCAGCTATTTAGCCAGTTGAAATGAGTTCCATAAAAGTAGCAACCTGAATTCTTTATTCTCAGGACATTACTTTCCATATGTCTGAGGTTTTTTTCTGGATACCCTTCATGTTGCTTTTGGTCTCCTCCATGGTTGTTCAAGTTTTTTGAGAGTTGTTGTTGTTAACCTGTTGCTTTTGACAGCCCTTCAAATGAGTTTTGTTCTCCAAAATCCTTTTACCTTCATTGTGGGCTTCTGTTTTCAAAGGAATAGTTTTACAACAAAAAACTTGTTCTTTCTGTACTCTGATCAACTGTATGAGACTAGAGAAAGAGGTGGGAGAAGCACACTGAGAGGAAGAAAGTGGTTTTTGTCTTTTAATTAACTGATAAAAAAAAAAAGAAAGGAGGTGTATTTGAAGTATAAATAAGACTTGGCTTATTTGAAGTATAATATATTGAAAGAAAAAGTTAATAATGAATACAAAAAGTATAAGGAAATGTGAAGTACAGAAACTTCAGGAAGGAAGACTAGTAAATAAAACATGAGAAATCAGGTTAAATATGCAGGATATTTTAAAAAATGTATACAACAAATCTGCAGTAAAGCTAAGGGTCATTGAAGCTGTTGGAAAACCTGAAAGGAGAAGAGTTTGTTAGGTGAAGTTGATGTTGCTAAGAACTGAAATGAGTTGTCTGTAGGAATAGTTTCTGAGAAAAGGTCATACACTGAAGACTATGATAAATGGCTTTTTTTTTTTTTTCTGTGAGGATGTAAAGTTGCATTAGACCTGGGAAAATTAAAACACCAACTGAATTGATTCACAAGAATTCAAAGTAAGTAATACAGGAAATTGGAAACCTGATGATAGAAGAAAGCACTGTAGAAATGAATAGTGCTTCCTGCATTGCTGGAGCTGTAGTGTGGTAGTATGTTGTCATAGCAATGCCAGGTATAAAAAATTGGAGATTAAGTTTGCAAACACTTTATCAGTATAGCTGCCTTGATACATGTGCTGTTTGGTAAGGGAATATACAGTGATAGTAACTCAGCAGAGTTTGAAAATGAGCCTAAGGGATTTGGAAGCAGAAATTACAATGAAAATGTATAATGAGGCTAGTACTCACGTGTCAACTAAAATACATGAAAATCTCTGAAGTGTTAAGGTGGTTGTTTTTGTTTTGTTATCATTTTCACAGTAAAACTGTCTGCGTAGGCTTTGGGACAAATTTTGCAACTGAAACACATGGCTTCCAAGAAGTACAGTTGTTTTTGTATTGCGTGGGTTTCAACTAATTTTCATAATCTAAATTTATCTGCTTCTGTCTTCCCCATGCTGGCTGTGAAAGCTCTAAAGAAGCTGATGTAAGGCCATTTGTTGAATGGAGAAATGGTATCTGACAGTCTGAACTACTAATTTACAAGGGTAAACAAGGGTTTTGTAAAGAATATGGGGAAAACAAAAGCTTTGCAACTCACTGTGAAAAGAAATCAGGGCTGTAACTCTAGACATCATTTTAAGTAGATATTAGGGCTTGAATAGCAGTTGCTTGGATTGGGTTGTTCATAGGAAGTCTGTAAAGCAATCTATGCATGTACATTTTCTAATGAAAAGAGATTGTAGGCAAATGGCAGTTGGACTTCTGTTGGTGAAGAAATCTTATGTCTTTAATATGTTTTAATTACAGAATACAATTATTACAATATTACAATATTGTAATGTTTATTATTTTTAATAATATAATATTTTAAAAATATAATATTTTTAAATAATTAATTACAGTATATTTAATTACAGAATGTGTAATGTCTTTAATATGTTTAAATACAGAATATGCAATTAAAAATTTGCTTAGAAGGATAGCACTTTACTTGGGGAGCAAATTATTATTTTTACTCTACTGTGATGATACAGTTTAAGCTGTTCTTGGTTTTCAACTTAGATTTGATTTTTATTCTTTGAATTCTTTTCGAATGATGGGCTTTAATGATACTTGGACAAAATTTTTTAAAAAAATATTATTTTTTTCCTCATTTTTGTCTAACTGGTACTGCAGACACATGAAAAGATGCAACTGAGTGGATCAGAGTTTTCCTGTTACTTGAATCAAAACAGTCCATGAAACTAAAGGCTCTGGCTTTGCTCCCTTCTTTCTGATCCTAGCCTAAGGCAGTCTGAAAGATTCAGGCTTACCATGTCACCAAGTATAAAAATGATGTATTGCTTCTCTGAAGTGTTCTTCAAATCTAATTTTTACTGCATGGAGCACAGAACTAGTTGTATGATTGAGCTTAAAAAAAGGGTAGGTAAATATTTGATTAATTGAATATGAACTTTGGAGAGGAAACCAGCTAGCTAGTTCTTTGGCTTGTCACTCTTCTCTCTGGTAGATAATGTAAATAACACAAAAATGTTTTAAAAAATCACTTTTACACTTTCATATACAGACGTGAGTCAAGCAGAATGTTTCACCATACCGTTTTCCCACTGGCTGTTCAACAAGTCCTTTGATAGAGTTTCACTAAGTTAGAAGGTGACTGCGTCAAAAGTATAACGTTTTCAAAATCCTCATCTATCTTTGATATTTTCTTGAAAATCAATCCCAGTAGTCATTAGCTGTGAGTTGCAGAAAACTGCAGCATCCATTTCTGTGTGATGCGGGCTTATTGGCAATCATTTCACTTCTAAAAGCTTGCATCAAGCAATGGGTTTAATTATTTGCTGTTTGGCTTTGTTTCTTTGGAAGCAAAAGCAGGGATAGATACAACCTTATCCCAGGTGTAAAAGCATAGGAATTGTAGCTCTGGAGCCTCCTACTCATGTTTCCTTGTAGCTGGCTGTAACTGGAGCTTGTAAGACTTGAGAACTGGCTAAAGGTAG